AGAAAAAACCTTTTAGCCAACATACCATATATAATGCGTGTGCGTGATAAATTTTAAACGGTATACTGAATGATACTACTCTGATGATGATTAACCATTTTGATGATGAGCTATGCCAGTAGGCGTGAGAGCATCATGATCAACTCGCATCTAAATCCAAATCCCTTAAGATAGTTTAAATTTATCTTTTATACATACAATTTATAAATTAACAAGTAAAAATCAATTACTTACCACTTTTCTAATATGGATATCGATAGAAAAGTTTTCGCACAAATCAATCGGGTATTTTACAAACACTAGAAAAATTTGATAGTAAGGAAAAAACTGATTGAAATAGAATACTGAATCGAAATCAAAGAGATAACAGAAAATAGGAAAAAAAGAATAGAGGATGTGCATGCGGATAAACTTATATTTTCTTAATCCACACCCACCCACATCCTCAAGATGGTATGATGTTGAAATTAGTGGAAGGTACACAAAACCAGATGTTAACATAACAGTACATATTGTTCCATGTATTGTTATGATAAAAATCATATTAATGAATCAATACGAAGAGTACTGGGAACTATATTTCTCCAGTTTCTTATTATTTTTCATTATATACTGTAATCGGAATATGTTGAAATGGACTATACATCATGTAACAAATGTTATATGTATGTTCAATTTATCATGATTCATGAATAAGGATAGATTTCGATAAATTCTTGTTGTGTTTTTGTAATTTTCAAATATAAATTGTGTTTTGTTTTTTTCTCATTTCATGGCCAGTATTATATTACATGTTAAAAGATAACTTTTTAAATTGTTTTATTGTAATCCATCTTAATTATTTTCAAAAGGTCTTCTTCTTCTTTGTTATAAATGAAATGTAATAGATACCTACCATAAAGTGGGAAGTAACCTAGAGATACCAGTTTCGAAGTTAAAATAAAAAGATAAAGAAGGACTGTATGTAGGAAGATGGCTATCATTTAATTTTTCATTTTTTTTCAAAACAAAGACAACATATAAATATACAGTAAAAGGTATGGAAATTATTTTATAAGAGTCAGAGAAGCTTTTAAATATTGAACATCTGAACCATGTTTGCTAGGATTATATCAATTTTATTTGGATTATGACTGTCAATTATCCTACAAAGAAGTAGTTGATAAAATATTCTTTAGACTTTGAGGTCATTGCTAAATCAAGGTTCCAGTCATAGTTAGATAAACCAATCAAAGCACAATCAAGTATCACTATTCGTCAATAAACCCAACAATTGAGATAATAAATACTTGTATTTAAGGGCGGGTATGAGTGGATGCGATAACGCGTATTCTTGCCACAGCCATATCCACACTCAGTTTTAGAAGAAAACATATTTACTGATCTAAAAGTTATTTTCTTTGCGCAAGGAATGTTATGGTTTAAATGACTTTCCAATTCTAAGTGTACTTACCTTAATAATTAGTGGTACTCTTAATTTTGAGTGTAGAAAACGAAGAATTTTAAAATCATATTTATACTTGTGACTTAGCTCGAAAGAATTCTTTGGTCAAGTGGATATGATCACTATGACGATAAATGGATCTCACAGTTATAACTTCAGAAATTTTCTTTTCACAACATCAGATGAGGGCAACTGCATCACGCGATTTCTATAATATAATTGCCGTTTTTGAGGAGGAATACACTAACAAATTTTTCATCAGTAGTGCACTTCTAATATTCCTGCTTAATTGATTTCACTTTTTCAGAGCCACAATCAACATCACCAGAACAAAAGTAACAACTACAGTATCATCTCAATCAACACTTGGAAAGTTACCTAAATCTAATTACCAAAAGATGGAATATAAAAAACTTGTTATTGGCAAAAACGAAGAAGACATAGAGCTGACTGCAAAACGAACCACTGCATATGCTGCATTACCAGAATGCATAGTAAGTGGTCTTGTGTTTAGGGGTGCTAGTTTAGTATCATCACTGCATTATCCTAATACTAATGCTAAGGTAGCATCTCTAGTTTTATTCTATCTGAGTTTTGGTCAGAAAAGTAGATGTCTTATATGCATGAGTTTGTCAGAAAAAGTTACGAAATAGAATAACTATTTGATGAAGAAAGATCTGAAAGAACTATTTTCATTGTATAAAAGTCAGATATACAGATTATGTAAGAAGAGCTTTTTGAGTGTTTTTCCATTAAGAACAACGGAAGAAATCTTATCTCAGTCAACAGAAATAAATATTAGATATTTTTTCTTTACATAAAATAAACTTTCAATAATTTCATTACATTTCATGCTCACTAATACTTTTTACTATCAAATTGTTTTTTCGATAAATTTATTCTCATCAATAAGAAAAAAATCATCATAAATCGTTATAGTATTTTTAATGCCATCTCAAACTAAAATATTCTACATAGATATGGATGATTCAAGTTGAATTTTTATTTGTAGAAACATAAATATAAATATAACCAAATTCAGATCTTTCATTGTTTTGTATTTCACTTCTTTTTCTGAGAATTTTCATACAGAATTAAAAAACTATTAACCCTCAAGCGCCCACCTGTAGGACTACCACTTATTACCCACCTGGGGTCCGCATGGACCCCAAGCTAATAAGATAGATATAATACGCGTTTTAACTAGTATACTATGATAGCATTATGTGGTATATAATTTGCCTCTTACAGACTTAGTAGCTTATGAATGGAAACTATATTTCGTTATTTTATCTTTTATTTTTAAAACATTTTCTTATGATCCGTTTTTAACCTAAAAATGTTTCGCTACAAATCGTGCAAACAACTATATGATGATCTAGACAACGGGGAGCATTGCAACTTGAACAGTGAGTAATAACCTTTCGATCACGCTCTCTTGGACAATGATGACAACGTTGCTTGACAGTAGCTGTTGAACCAACAGTTGGTTGTGAAGTAGTTATTGTTAGTCCAATTGCCTGCATAGCTATTCGAACGTTCTTTTGAAGTGCCTGCGGTTGATATCGTCACCGATCCAAATGCGATTGAACAAGATCATGACCTAATTCCATTAGAAATGGACGTCGACGATAGTTTTTCTTTTCATTCCGTTGAGAGTTTTTGGTTGCCCATACCACAAAAGTAGCAAGAGTACCAACATCAAGTATGTTGAAAAAGAAAGTCATTGACATGCTTTACAATTTATTAGATAGCTACAGAATACTTTCATATGTGCGGACAAATGTATAAATTATGAAAACGAAAAATTTATAATCAAATAATAAGCAGAAACTAATGTTATATCATGGGGTCCGGTTGGACCCCAGGTTGGCAAAATGCGTATATATGTACTTTAAGGTAATTTATCTTATAGAAGACTAAAGGAGATAAGCGAATGCTTTCTATGGTATACTCTACGACTCTGCACTAGAGCATATCTAGAGTGGTGTGATATGATCTGCGATCGTATATGTAAAACATTAGAATGAAACTAGTTGGGGTCCGCGTGGACCCCAGGTGGGCGCTTGAGGGTTAAACATATTCTTATCTTTCTTCGACATGAAATAAATTTTAAAAATAAATGAAATATTCATTCTTGAAATAAAATATTTCTGAAAGAGATTTAATTTTCTTTATTATTATTCGAGAAAAGATTAACAAATTGAACAGATTCGATGATTAGTTCCGAGAACGTCAATAGTTTCTAAAGAATTCTAAATGAATAAATTTTTTAATATTTAGTTTGAATCAGGAGCTAATAACGATATTAAACAACCTACTCATCCACGAACAGGATCGTAAGTATTTGATTTATTTATTCGAAATATATATGAATCATTTTAGGTCTTTATTTCATAGAAAAATTGGTTTTTGTTTTTCAATTAACCTTGTTGTTCTTATCCTAATAACTATCATTAGTATTACAATATGGTTTATCTTCATTAAAAAAGCCGAAACAACAGTTAATACAACTACAGCTACAATTAATGCATCGACAACAGGACTAACAATTCTTACAACGTCGACAACAACAACAAAAATGCTTACAACGTCGACAATAAAAACAACAATGATTACAACATCGACGGCAACAACAACAATTCTAACGACGTCAACATCAGAAACAACAAGTCTTGCAATGCCGACAACAGAAACAACAAGGCTTACAATGCTAACAACAGAAATAACAATGATTACAACGTCGACAAATTTCCATGCAACAACAAAGAATGGTAAAGTTTTCTTATAAAAGAAAAAATAGGAACTGACATATTTCTTGGGTCCAAAGAAATAAGCTCCATACCTAAATTCCAAATTTGTAGCTCACTTACGCATCCATTTTTTATCTAATAATATTTGAAATTATGTAGCCGTCTAAAACAAATTAATAATTAAATACAGAACAAATGTGTTACGAAACGGGAAGTGCTATTTCCAAAACAGAATAACAATACTCAGCACTCACAAGTAACACTCCCAAAACAGAACAAACGTACTCAGTACCTGAAAGTATCGTTTTCATAACAAAACAATTGTGTTTCATTTTTGGAAATTTTGAGATGTGAGGGTACTAGAAGAATCATACACATCCACACCTATATTTGATTTTTCATTAAACATGTTTATCAAGATTTCACTCAAAATCAATCTTTTCTTTTTTCTTTGATTAAAAACAAAACTTTCTTCTTATTCTTTTTTTCATCAAAATTTTTTTTTCTCGCCATTTTCTAGTATCAAAATTCAGTAAGTGGAAACAAAATGCCATCACTGTGGCTGGCGGAAATGGATATGGACAAGAACTAAATCAATTCAAGGGTCCTCGTGGAATCTTTATTGATAAAAAGAAAAATATTTTCATTGCTGATGGAGAGAATCATCGTGTTGTTGAATGGAAATGTAACGCAAAAGAAGGACAAATCATTATAGGTGGAAACGGGGAAGGAAATCGAACGAATCAATTGAATTATCCAACAGATTTGATTATTGATCAACAAAATCATTCGATCATCATTGCTGATTGGAAGAACAGACGAATAATTCGATGGTTGAATCAAAATCAAGAAATTCTCATTCACAATATTGACAGTTATGGCTTGGCAATGGATAAAAATGGATTTCTTTATGCTTCTGATTATGAGAAAAATGAAGTGAGACGATGGAAGACGGGAGAATACAACAATGAAGGAATTGTGGTGGTAGGTGGAAATGGAAAAGGAAATCAACTTAATCAACTCAATGATCCTACTTTCATCTTTGTTGATGAAGATCAATCAGTTTATGTATCAAACCACTACGGTCATCGTGTGATGAAATGGAGAAAAGATGCAAAAGAAGGAACAATTGTGGCTGGAGGAAATGGCGAAGGAAGAAATCTCAATCAATTGTCTTCACCTGCAGGAATATTTGTTGATGATTTAGGTCAAATATATGTGGTAGATAATGGGAATGGTCGAATAATGCGTTGGTATGAAGGAAAAGAAGAGGGTGAAATTGTTGTTGGTGGAAACGGTGAAGGAAATCAACCAAATCAGTTATATAGTCCTCGTGGATTATCTTTCGATGATGAAGGAAATCTGTATGTTGTTGATCGGGGAAATTATCGAATTCAAAAATTCGAAATAATATTGTGAATGAAATTTTGATTTTGAAAGAACGAAAAAAAATTTATTGAATAAATAATCGAGAAATAGAATACAAAATAAAGTTTTATTATTGAAAACCAATTAAAATTTGAAGAAAAAGACATATTCTGATAAAAGAACAAAGTAAAATCTTTTTGGTTTTTTCATGAAAACGCAATTAAAGTTTATAGTTTTGATTAAGAAATTCGAATAAATAAATGTCAAGTTCTTAATCCTTTGTTCATTTTTGCAAAGGAAAAGAGAAAAAAATATTCTGTGATTTGAACTGGATTGAAATAAAAATTATTCGAAATGAAGATTTTACCTTTGATAAAATTCTATTTGAGTAATTTTTAATTCACAGAAATAGTCGATTTTTTTTGTTTTTTCGATTTGATGAAATTTAAGAATTGTTCAAAACTTAGAAAAAAAGTAATATTTACAAAAAATTCATAATAAAACTCGAATTGATATGAAGGGTGTGTGTGACTAGGGTTGCGGATATAGGTCCGGGTGTAAGTGTGAAGATTAAGTTATTCGCCCATACTCATATCCACATCCACACACACACACACCTTAATTTTAAGTAAAAATAAATAACCAAAAACTCTCTTATTCCGAGTAGATCTGCGAAACGTTTTTACAACCATCATGTCAGTTGAGCTAGAATGCAACATGTATTTTAGTCAACACCGATAAACATTCGTTCGATACAGAAAGTAATAACATTTATTTCACGACTGAATTAACGATACCTAATTTTCAGTGATAGTTGAGTTTTCGTATATGGAAGAATAATCCGTCAGAGGTAAATCATATAATTTAGTGTATTTATTCGAATGATTTTCCTGAAATATGTTGCTTTGAATATTATTTTTTTTAGGTGTGGAAGCGGATACTATATTTATCTAGCACCATTACGCCAATACCCTCGAGATATTCACATCAGAATCAGGAATAAAAGTAGTACGTAAACAAGAAATAAACGACTGCAAAGAATGCGAAGATTAGAAAACTACTGGTTGAAATGGAATATTTTTTAATTTATTTATTGAAAAATAAAAAAAGACAATCAATATTACTCGCACATACGAATGATTCTTCTCCTAGTTTTCTCTTTGCTCTCTCTATTCATCGACTTGACAAATTTGCGCGCTAACTTCTTCATAGACAACAATATATCTTAATCAGACTATGGACATCCACATTCTGTGATTTCATCACACAGTCATCACTGCTTATATATATTGTAGTTCTATGTCGAAGAGTGTCAAATCAATGAATAAGAAGAGGCAAAGAAATGAACTAAAAAGAAAAGAAAACAAACGATGAATGAGTATTTGACAGAAATATTTGATTAAGCGAGTGTATGATCATGGGATTGGTTGAAGTTGTCAATCCATTGATCGAGTTCATCAAGATGATAGCTAAATGTGTCCTTGTGTGGTTCTGCTTTCAAAGCTAATTTGCCATCATAAATAACATAGAAACGATATGGCCATGATCCATATGTGAGATGGAATGTATTGTCCATATTATCGACGAGCATAGGCATTTCAAATTGTAAATTCTTTTGGCACTCTCGAGCATTGACAAGTCGTTGTTCGATCGTTGTTGGTTGATCTACACAGGAGATGGTCTTCCCTGTTGGCCATTGATCACGAGCATGTGCTTCGGCGATGTAAACCACCAAAAAATCCATGCTATCGGACGCATGCGAGCGAAATAGCGCACTATATAAACAATATTCATTAATCATGTATCTATCATAAAATTTAAAAAAAGACATACTTTATTCGCTCGGCAGACGCCCGAAATGGAGGTCAGCTAGTTGAACCGGCCAACAATATCAATGGTTGACCAGCCGGGATATGCGATAGAAGATTTGTAGGATGACCTTCCATAGTAAACAAATCGACGTCACGAATACATTGATCTTGTGTAATCAGACCTTGTGTGATTTTGTTGTGTTTGACTAAAAAATAATTGTATATGAGTATATAATTTCAATAATACACATGTCTAAGTTTTCTTTTTTTTAAAATTAGATGACTTACTGTAAAAAGCATCTTTAACTGCAGGTTCGTCTGGAAATCGATACAAAGCAGTACGTAATGCGTTCACATCACGGTATCCAAAGGATTCCACAACATGTTGTTGAATAAGATCCAATATCAAGCTTCAAGAGTATAACAAAATGTGTTAAAAATTTAATAAATGAATAACAATAAAACTTACGTAATAGCTCCTTCATCCTTATAATATACATCCATGAGCTGTTGGATGGATTCGGATAAACGTATACGTATTTCGTAGGCAATCATCTCACGTATAGTTTCAATTGTGGGTGATTCACTCGAGATTTTGATAGTTTCAAAACCCATGTGACCGGAAGTGGGAAAAAACATTCGACATAGAGCTCTTGAATAATCGGTTGGACGATTCGACTTAGATGGTTTTGGTGGTGGTTGTTTTTGATTTGATGGAAGAGGAAGAGCTGTAGAATTTGCATCTGCTAATCCATTACTAGCCACTGATAATGGTTGTCCTTGAGCAGTTATCGCCGCTGTTGTCTGCTCTGCGATTTTATTGTAATCTTGTTCAGTACCATTCATGAAATCTTGCTGATAATCTCCATGAATACTCTCATGCGACATTGTGTTATTGGATAATGTCGCCTTTTTTTTCTTTTTTAACCATTGAAACATATAGAAGATATATATACGTGTCGACGGATATATGCTTGTGCAAGAAATAAGCATATATTTGCTTTATATAGAAGCAAGAGAAGGTATAAATGAGTCATTCCGAAATATTATGGTGTAAGAAACATGACATGACTCACTATACACAATAAAAAAATATGAGATAAAGGTATGTTGGTAATTTAGTGTGATGACTAATACACTAAAACAAATGTATTGATGATACTTCCGTATGCACTTAGCAACAAATACAACTGAATATTATAAAGAAATACAGCATTTTATTATAATTTAATTTGTTTGTAATTGTACACTACTGCCATAAAACATGCTCATACATACGATGAATAATAATAATAAAATAAAGAAACGACAAATAAAATGATAACATTGAAACATTAATATATTAATCTATTCAACATAATATTATAGATAATCAAAATTTATGTAAATTGATTATGTATATGACTATCAAATTGTTCTCTACTACTAACATTCTTATATTTCCCGATATGTGCACAATATTAATAACAAAAATGAAAATAAAGTCAAACAATAACAAGATGAATGTATGATATATTCATTATTATTCTCGTTCATATTCTCGATATCAAGTTATTTTACTACGAGACGTAGACAAAACTGAAAATTCGTGTATGAATATTGTTTTTATTGCATTCTCGTTCTAAAGATTTTAATTGTTCATCATTTGAAAAATTCAAATCAATATTTTTTTACATTTGATCTGTAATAAAACGATCAGAAATACATTTATTTATACGAATTTGAATACGAAAGAACATAGAAAATGTATAAAAAATAATAATACTATATAATCATTTACTGTAATATTTTTTAAACTACATAGAGATATGAAAAAAGATGAATTACTAAAATTAAGTAGGATTCATTCCTAGTAAAAATTTACTATTTGATTTTTGATACGAATAGAAAATGATAATGAATAAGTTGTGTTATATGACTGAAAATTCTATTGAAGACTAAAATATCAATGCATATGTATATTAGAGACTAAAGGCAGACATTATTATCTAGTTGTTATAAATAAAAGTCATGTGTGCTTACAGTTCACACTTTTAATGCTTTTGCTGTGATAATATTTCGATGTTTTATAGATTTTATAAGAAAAAAAAAGAAATATTTCATATGAATAAAACATTGCTTTGATGAAAACATATAAGATGTAACTATAGAATGAATTGTTTTTTGGAGATTGTAAAAATATTTGATGTGGAGTTTTATCGGATATTAATTATTACTTTTCAAAAGAATATCAAACAATAGAAAGAAATATTTTTTCTTCTTTATATAAAAACAACATAATTTTATTCGATACAATAAAAATCCATCGCATACAATCTTGTTTCTTCTTATCTCAAAAATAAAAAACGTACATAGTTAAGTAAGGATGCAGAATACGCTCTTGTGCACGAACGCACGTTCTGGGAAATATTTTTAGATGAAAATATTATTTTATATGTAAATGATCTGATGTGTTTATTAGAGTAGAAGATATTCTAAACATATTGTAGTCTCTTTTCATTTCTTTTACTTGAATACCAAAGAGAAATTTTTCTACGTCAGGAGCAAGTTTTCGTTTTACGGAAGATTCTGTACCCCTGAAGTTAAGTTTTACTTCCTAGATTGAAGGTGAGTGTATATGTGATTATTTTTTTTTATAATACCACCATTGCACTCTCAAGATATTACATCAGTTTTATTAGTCGAATTTTGGCATAAATAAAAAAAATCTTTTTCGATTTCTTCTACTACCGAGCGATGCTTTCATTGTCATTGACTCATGAAACTTATATTTATAAAAGTAGATAAATAGATTATTCATTTCTTCTGCCAAATTTTATTCAACGACATGGCAATGACAAATAACAAAACACTATGTTTTACATGTAATAAAGAAAAAATAACATTTCCTTGTAAAGGATGTTCAGAAGAATTCTGTTTAATACATTTCACAGAACATCAACACATATTGAGTGAAGAATTAAATCGTATTATTGATGATTATGATCAATTTAAACAAAAAATTAATGAACAAACACAAAATCCACTAAATCATTTATTAATAAAAGAAATTAATCAATGGGAAAGAGATTCAATTGAAATAATTCAACAAAAAGCACAACATTGTAGACAAATTGTTATTGAATATTTATCAACATTCTTTAATAATATCGAGATGAAATTCAATGATTTAAATGAACAAATAAAACAAATTCATCAAGAAAATGAATTTAATGAAATTAATTTAAGTTATTTAACAAATGAATTAATAGAAATTACAGAAGAATTAAATAATTCATCAAAGATTTATATTCAACAAGATTCACAATCATTTATTAATGATATTTCAATTATTTTATCAAAAAGCAAGTTTTTCAGAAATAATTTCTAAAAGAAAAATTCTGATGAAAATGAGAAAAACCAATTCAGAATTTTAATACAAATAGAAAATAAAATGTATTCATAAGTAAAAGAAAAAACTGATAAGATAAGAAATAATATTTGATTAAAAATTGTTTTCATAAATCATCTCAATTTAATTTTTTTTATCATTTTAATGTTGATTCGATAAGAAAACTAAAAAAACTTTTATTTTCATTATTTTCCAGAATCGAAATTCAATAAATGGAAACAAAATGCAATCATTGTGGCTGGTGAAAATGGATATGGACATGAATTAAATCAATTCAATGGCCCTTATAGAATCTTTATTGATGAAAACAAAAATATTTTCATTGCTGATCTTAATAATCATCGTATTGTTGAATGGAAATGTAATGCAAAAGAAGGACAAATCATTGCAGGTGGAAATAAACAAGGAAATCGAATGGATCAATTGAATCGACCAACAGATATGATTATTGATCCACAAACTCATTCGATCATCATTGCTGATTATGTGAACAGGCGAGTGATTCAATGGATGACTCAAGATCAACAAATTCTCATTAAGAATATTGACTGTTATGGTTTGGCAATGGATAAATATGGATTTCTTTATGTTTCTGATTATAAGAAGAATGAAGTGAGACGATGGAAAATGGGAGAATATGACAATGAAGGAATTGTAGTGGCAGGTGGAAATGGAATAGGAAACCAACTCAATCAACTCAGTTATCCAGGCTTTATCTTTGTTGATGAAGATCAATCTGTTTATGTATCAGATCAAAACAATCATCGTGTGATGAAATGGAGAAAAGATTCAGAAGAAGGAATAATTGTAGCTGGAGGAAATGGTCAAGGAGAAAATCTCAATCAATTGTCTTATCCTCAAGGAGTCATTGTTGATGATTTGGGTCAAATCTATATAGCAGATTGTTGGAATGATCGAATAATGCGTTGGTGTGAAGGAGAAGAAGAAGGTGAAATTGTTGTTGGTGGAAATAGAAGAGGAAATCAATTGAATCGTCCCATGGGTTTATGTTTTGATGATGAAGAAAACCTTTATGTTGTTGATTATTTGAATCATCGAATTCAAAAATTTGAAATAATTTTGTGAATAAAATTTGTAATTTGAAAAAAAAGAAAAGAAATCTTTTGTTAAATAAAGATAAAAGAAAAGGCCAAGTTTTGTTCTTGAAAGTTAATGAAAAAATCAAATAAATTATTGATAAGAAAAAGATGTGGGTGTGGGTGTTATGCTGATATCATGTACCATATATTCACACACTCATCCCTCAAGAATAGAGTCTTTCTGTATGCACGCTCGTACGCTTTCTATTCAAATTATTTCTTTATTTTCAAAAAATAATCATTTACAATTTGTTTTTAACATCTTCATGGTTGCTTTTCCATTCTTGAAGATGAGCATGATTTTCAGGCAATGAACATTGTCCAATCCCAACACCCCGTGTATAATACAAAAATGCTTTCGAAATTCGAATATTCCTGCATACCGTCGTACACCAAACCAATATTATTGTGCGAAGTAACGAAATCAGGATGATTTTTAGGGAGAGATTTTTGGCAAATTCCCACTGCTCTTTCAAGATATGAAAGTGCTTTTGAGCACTCATTTACCATTGCCATCTCTATGTTTAATTTTATAGTAATAAATTATCATAATGTTTTTGAAGTGATGGATCCGTTTATTGCGTACATATCAGAAGATTACGCGTTATACAATGATATCATAGTTTGGCGATGGATTATATAACTAACAGTGCGATCAGCTTCTATTGTGTCTATGCAAACAAATAATGACTTTTATGTCGAGCGGTCGAAATTTCTGTATATTCTTTTCTAATATTATACGTAAAATTATGTTTTCAGATGATTGTATTAATTATATTATATTTAATGAATCGTTCACTTTTGTAGATTTATATTATTATTTTATTTATAGTATCAGGTGTGCGATCAAAATAGTCAGAACAAATAAGAAGACTACAGCAAGCCGAACTGATTACGAAGGCACATCAAGTAGTACTGCAAAGGAAATATATAACCGCTAGGAAGAATCAAAAATTTGAACCCGGAGATGAAGCTAGCGTTGATTCACGAAGTGATCGTACTCGTGGTATGATTCTAATGATTGGTGAGATTGCTAATTTTTGAAAAGAAACAGGAGATGTTGCTTCAAATTTAGGAACGGAAAATCAATGCAAAAACTCACTATTTGTTATAGAAAAAGCAAACAATTCAAGAAACAACATAAAAATGATATAAGAAAATGTAGTGATGAACTCGGAAATAAAATGAATCATGTAAAGAATGGTGAAATACATAAAAATAATGTTCTTTACATTAACGATCAGCCTTCATTAAAAGATGCTCCTATATTGAATTCTATTAGTTCACAATCAATCATTTTAATTAAGTATTTCTATTGAAACTGATTTACTTATAGTCTGTATGTATACTTTTAGAAAATCCAGAATCAACAACTACTACTGCTAAAAAGCGAGAACGTTTAGATGAAGATGGTGATGAAACACGTTCAAAATCTAACATCCTTAACGTTGACATTAAATGTTAATGGTATACAGCCTAATAAAGGATCACAACAATCTATATGACCCATCTTTAGAACATCATTTTAGCAGGTGTGTGGCCAGGCTCTAAGAAGCCAACACGTTCTGATATGAACCTTTTTTACGTCCTCTTGTTAATGAACTCATTACACTCAAGCAAGGTGTAATATTTAATTTGCTTAATGATAACAAGACTTTGATTACGGGATGTGCCTTTCTAATTGGATCATGCTGTGATAAACCTGCGCAAGCATTAGTTCAGATTTTACTAGAACCAACAGCTGCATATGGATGTGGCAAATGCGAGATAAAAGGTACATTAATTTTTATAAAGGAACAATGATCCTAAGAATAATAGTTGTAGGCTTCATGATATGAACTGGAAAAGATGGAAATGTACGACGTTTTGGTACGACATCGAACGAATTGGAAGAGACGTATATACGCTCTAACACGCGATATGACATGATGCCAATTTAAAGGCGTTTCACAAACGGATATTACAGTCAATTTCATGTTGAAACAGGAAATCATAGATCGAAAAGTATAATACAGCAGAAAAAGAAATCCTTGGGCCTCGTGTCTTACGAGAGTTATCACATTTCAATGTCTGACATTCATGTATGGCAGATAAATTGCATAATGTTCACATCGGAACAATCGTATGTAAAAAATCCGAACATTTTTATGATAGTTTTGGGTTCTTTTATGTTTAGAAAAGATGTTCCGATTATGGTTTGATCAAGATTAATGGTTGAAAGATTGACTTGCTTCATATTCTAAATTTAAAGCAAGTGAAATGCGAATATTGCTATTATTCGGATATGTTATCTTCAAGAATATGTCGAAAAACCGTTACTACATTCATTCTTAGAATCGGGAATGATGATG